TTCTTTCCTTCCCGAACGTCCGAAGCCGTTTTTTCGGGGTGTTGGAAATTAGCTGTGAAAAACTTGTCTGAAGATGACCGGTTTCATGATCAAGGTCAAGCATCTTGGAACTAAAAAATAATACTGGTTTTAAGGGTAGTTTTAAGGGAAATCTAGTCCACGACGTATATGAAGGCTAGGAAACATGTTTTGTGAACCGCGGAAAAAAGAACATGGCGAACATTGATTCCACTTTAGTACAATACTGTATTTGGTACAGTAGCCAGTCACTTTTGAAAAAAAGGGACGAGAATTACTGGAGCCAAATTTTAATACAGTACATCAGAAGCATAACACTTTCATTATTTATGGACTGCTAAGAGTATACTTCAGTTCACAACCGGGTTGTCAGTCATCCTTCAAAATAAAAATATAAAAAGTTACTGCTCAGGAAAAAAGTTTATATAATATATTCTTCTACTGTGTCTATTGTGAAGACAATTTGTTTTAGGTCACGCAGATGTCACTGCCAAACACAGAACAATTCCAACTATACAATCGAATTTGAACAGCTGCAAAAGCCCGTCATTGCCACTGTTTACAATTGCATTTTGCTGCTGCCAAAATTCACATGAGGAAACAGAAGGAATCTACAGAAACGGAAAAACTGAAATCAATTTCCTACTCCCAACGACATCAAACAAGTCTAGAACTATGCGCGAGTATATTGGACAGAAAAATAAATTCATCAGAGAAAATAAAATTCGTCTACTTTGTATCAAAATTACCAATCGAATTTTCACTTGATACTACAGTAATACCTGAGGTACACCAAAAAAGGATGAGGAAGTACTGTTCAATACCTTCATGTCATCCATCGGAGGCAATGGCATTGAATCTGATTCATCCACTTCGCAATCCCGATAGAAAGTTGGCAGCATAACTTTGACACTCTGAGAAAAACAAAAACAAATTAGTACAGAAAAATACAAAACATTCAATAAAATATCAAGTACAATCGGATCTATCCAAATCGAACTTGAAGGAACCAACTCGATAATTCGACCGCAAAATTCGGAAATTGGGGGTGAAAATACTCGGGAATATAAGAAATCGATTTAAGGAAAGCACTTTTTTGGTAGAAACTGTAATTGGTGATGTTTTGGCCTTGAATCATTTTTTTAAATGATTTGACAGGATGCTCAAGTTGAAGGCAAATGTTCATTTGCCCAAATAATCTTTGATTTCCATGCAAAGCACGTCAATTTAAATATGTTATCGCTTTTTTTCTTTCCTGTGTCGATAAATTAATAGCCAGAAGACCCCCAGAAACCGCAAGTTATGGAGATTTGAGGATTTTTATGCATAGTTTTCAAGGGAATTAAAGCGGGCACTTTGAAAAATTCGACACACGGATGCATTAATCTTATAAGGGTTCGAGTTATCGTAGTTGAACATAAAATATTGACTTTATTTCCAAGAGAAAACTCACCTGACCAACTACGGCAGCCCGGTTCCACCCAAAAGTGAGCAGCGCGAAACTCGGGTTCACATCCACAATTTTCCCATCCTCATCCACCAACACTAGCCCACTGAGGTTCCCATAAATCGACACAACCACAACGTGGGTTCCACGCTCGAAATCAAAATCCGCAGGCAGGAATTCTTCGGCTTGCGGGGCAGCCATTTCGCACATGGTTGCCAAGTCAGACGACTCAAACGTTGTCACTGTCACGGGAAACGTTCCGAGACCATCGACACCTCTGGCAACCAGGGACTGATGGTTGAGACTACAGTCGAGATCCGAAGGCATTTCGGAAGAGATGCTGAGCTTGGGTAAAAGTGTTGTGGCGTCCATTTCGTTCAAGTGGTCTTCGGAGAGGTCGAAAATTTCGCGGGCTACAGCGTCAAACCATACAATCTTTCCTTCGGTTCCGAGTTGCAACTGCGAATATAAATTTCAAAGCAAGTTTTGTCATCTATCACTTCTTTAGAATACCTTCACAAAAATAAAAGTAATTTCGGTCTGCGAATAAAAGACGCGCATATTTCACTGCAACCAGAGTCGGAGAATTCTCATAACTTGTAATTCACGAGCGTCTTACACTTTTTTGCAATCTAAAGGGCTTTAAAAAATGCAGGGACTTTTCAAAATATGTAAAAATCAATAAAAATATCCACAAATGAGGCAAAAATCAAAAAATGTCACTCACAACAGCATCAGCTCGAATAACGGGCTCAGCAACCGCAACTGCGACATTCTCATCAGCACCTTCAGCTCCATTCAAAAGCCGGACCCATAATGAAACCAAAACACTTTTGCCATTTTTTGCAGTAATTTCCACCACATTCCCGGGGAAAATGACGGGATCTCCACTACCGTCCACTTCCATCTCCGTAATCGCATCTTGATACTTGGTTTCCCGCAAAAACTGCTTCAACTTCAATTTTTGTGAGGCTATCTCTTCCGCTGACACTCCGAGCAATCTGATTCATGCGAAGGATCATTCTTAATAATTATTCAATGTATGGTTGAAAAAATCTCTTGTTTTGTCCAAAACACAGATCGATTCCCACGTATATTTTCTACTGGCAAAATAAAACGTTCCACCCTTTTTCCATCAACATCAAGCACATACAGGAATGAATGTTAAACGCGAATACGAAATTTCAGCAACAATAAAAAAATAGTATAAATGAGTGAATAATTGATTATCGACCTTACGCACTAACACGTCTGAATACAGCTCAGATTGAATAAAAATATATACGAATAGCTCACCTGCAACCGAGTTTGTTGGCAATCAGAATCCGGGAAGTTTTAGCATTGAGCGAGAAAACAGCTTTGTGGGGATTTCTGGAGCCCGCTGTTGAAACTTCGTTCCTCACAAATTGATAAAAAGACCATCCACTTTGATCCAGGGATTGATTAGTTCCAACTGAGAGATTCACGCTTGGACTCAAGCCACCAACCAAAGATAATGAGTTCAGGCCATTTGCTGAAAAACAATTCCTTAATTATACGTTAGCGAAACATTTTGTAAACGGGAATATAAAATACATCTTGAATTTTCAGTCAATTGAACGGGAATGATGATTTCAAATGAATCTTAGACGAACGTCCAATCATCAAAAATTAATTTACACGGAGGAGCAAATGGTGCACCAAAGTTATATGAAGATCAATTCACTTTGAGCCCAAACCGGGATCCACCGCGTGAAAGATACAGCATTCGGAAATTGAACAAACCTCTGGTTAACGGGTTCAAAAGGAATTTGGTCAGGATGACACGACCCGCGTTCCCAATTGACGGTAAAGACTGGTTCATGTCGAAACTTCGACTAAACCCACTGTTGTTGCTCATGACTCCAGCTGCTCAAAAATAAAAACTAATTCATTCAACGGATTCGCAGTCTAAAAGAACAAGATACTCACGAGAAGGAATCCTCAACGAATTCGCACAAGAATCAATAGCGGGATCCCACTTTACCTATCGGGGAAAAAAAGGAGAGGTCACATTATTTTTCGAGACAGAAATACTGTACACAGAAACTTACGACTTGACGCTTCTTCGAAGATTTCCGCACAGGAACAGGAAGATCAGGAGGGGATTCCAGACGATCTATCCCTGGACTTGTCACATGGCAGCCGGGAGCACTTTCGATGACCAGCGGGTCGCCAAAGGTACTACACGAACAACGAAGAATTTCATTAAGCAAGGATTATCATCTACTTCGAAAGATTCAAAGCATGGCTTCGATCTGAAGATATGCTTATTCACCTCGACCCCGGCCTTGCCACACAACTGTTACCCAGTTTGAAATCTTCACGAAACAACAAATGCATCCCAAAAACACATAGCTAAAAACTCGAGCACACGCGTACACCACAACCCACGAATAAGAATAACGACATGCGACAGTTCAAGCATAACATCAACTCCATGACCCAGGTCCATCGAAAATCGATTCCCAGAACGGAAGGACCACAGGTAACGGGTGTGGAGCGATGTTAACAACGGTTGTTTTCATGCATTCGTTACACGCTCGATAAGGTTCTCTCCCACACTCGCGCAACTGACCGACACGTTGCACGCTTGCCAAAATGAAACGGAATCCCCTCAATAACGCGCTTGATTAATTCATTAAGGTGATTGATACGTTCACAACAATAACCACGAGAAATGAAGGTCAGCGGCATGCAGTAAATAAGTTTTCCCACAAGGGTGACTTGAAATATTAATCAACGTGCAGATCACCAACATGAAAGCATTAGAAAACTCACATTAAAATGGCTCTGGTTTAGCAGCGAGTCCGTAGGCACTCTGCGAAATCTGATTAAGAAAGTCTCCGGATAATCGTAAACTGATCTCAAGCTTTTGCTTCATGAATTCGTAATGTTCCAATTTCACCCGCGTTACCATGGTACCGCGCCATTGATAGCTGAACTATCGATTTTCACAGAGCGACCTTCAGTTTCGATATTCACTTGCGTTTCACTCACGTCAGCTGTCGACCTTCAGCCCAATTTTGGAGGTCATCTGAAACAGCTGAGATTCTCGATTTTAATAGAATATTTCAACTTCTTGTATGTCCATTTAACATTTTGCGAGATATGATTCGAAATATTGCCAGATATTTTATTCCAATGGTCTAGATTAGAAAATTAAATCAAGATGCAACCTGTGCATTCAATTCTTGCTGAAATTTTCCATGAATAGCGGAAAAATGCCTAAATTATTAAGACTTCCAGCTGAGTTCTTCAATACACTCATGTTGTGTCTTGCATTTTCCATAACAGAACTTTATACGGCATATTGTTTTTAGATGTGTTGTAAGCTATGTTTTTTTTA